GGGAGGGAGGGAAGGAGGAAGGAAGAAGAAAAGGAAAAAGGAAAAAACACATTCCCTTTGGATCACTATCTGCAAAGGTTCTTACCTGTGTGAAATATCTCTGGAAGAAAAAGGAAAGCATAGCTGAGAATGGCTGCTTCTAGGAAAGGGAGCCCAGTGTGGAACCTGAGGTGTGGAGAGGAAGCTCATTTGCACAATGCCATTACACCTTTTCTTTTTATCCAAGGGTTTGTGCTATCTGTTCAAAGCAATAATTTTGGTTTGGTTTTTTTTTTAAAGAAAAGTTTATATTCCTTCAGATATCTACTGAAACACCACACATTTTTCTAAACATTAGGACACAACATGAATCAAGACAGACTATCACTACTTTGATCATTTTACTTAAATTTGCCCCCCAGATTCTCAGATTTTTCCTGTGATCCTCTTATTTCTGTAAGAAAGTTCTTGGGGTGTGTATGGTATATGTGTATATATGTGTGCTTGTGAGTGTGGACATGCATGCCACAGGAGACTTTCAGGAGTTGGTTTTTTATTCTATCTTGTTTGAGATGAGGTCTCTCTCATTGCTTCTGTGACTATTTTGTGTACTTCAGGTGCTCTGGGAAAACCTCCTGTTTCAGCCTACCGTGTGTCTGTAGGAGGGCTGGGACCGCAGGTGTGTGTGTGTGTGTGTGTGTGTGTGTGTGTGCTGCCACACCTCCCATGTGTCTGTAGGAGGGCAGGAACCGCAGGTGTGTGTGCTGCCACACCTCCCGTGTGTCTGTAGGAGGGCTGGGACCGCAGGTGTGTGCGTGTGTGTGTGCTGCCACACCTCCCGTGTGTCTGGAGGAGGGCAAGGACCGCAGGAGTGTGCTGCCACAGCTGTCTTTGGTGTGGGCTCTGGATCAAGATCAGGCCATCAGGCTTGTGTAGCATGTGCTTCTGCCCCTGGGCACCCGCATCAGCCCCAGCCCTCTTGTTTCTATATACGCAACTTGATCCGTTTCTTTTCTCTCTAGATTGCCAAGTGTTCTCCAGTACCCTTGGCTCTCATACCTTCCTTGTCAGGTGCCATTCTAGAAAGGCCTTGCTTCTGTGGCATCCTCTCAGTGCAGAAGCACCCAGCATCAACCCTCCTATCTAGGAGGCACAGCAGCCTGAATTTTTAGTAAGAAAAGTGAAGCCTTTCTTAAGATAGACTTCTGCTAATCAAGCTAAAATTAGGTACCTAGCTAAGTGTGGTGTCATACTCCTTTAAACCCACATTCAGAAGGCAGGCAGATCTTTGTGAGTTTTAAGGTCAGCCTGGTAAGTATAGGAAGTTGTTGTAGTAAGACCTAAAGAACTGAAGCATCTGGAAGTGATCTGTTGTTATTGACTATGACCTCAGTGCTGGACCCCACCCACTGTTGGACTCACATCAGGACTTCTACTCCTTGTATGAGTCCCCAGCTTTTACCCTCTATTTTACCACCCCACTCTCATCCCCACATACCCCTCCCCACTCCATATCCTGGAACCCACCTCATGTCTGTGGCTGTTCCGTCGGCCTAGCCTGCTTGTTTCCTCCTTACCCACCAGGCTCCAGTTAGAACACCCGCTCTGTGTGTCCCCATTTGTTCCCTCTGAGCAGTGTGTCTGCCATGTTCTATTCTAACTGCCCTTTTCATACACTCCATTGACCCTGTCTCTCTCCTTGGCTTCCTGTGCCACCCACATCCAGGACTTTGTTGCCCCCACCACAGTCCTCCATGCTCTGTTCACCGGCTGGCTTTCATCGTTTTTCAGATGTGTGCCAAAACCACAAGTTTGCCTGACGACCTTCGATACATTTGGCTGTAGCCAATATGAGTGTGTGCACAGACAGCTCACCTGTGAGCAGGTCCGAGATCCTGTGTGTGACACAGAGCACGTGGAGCACAGCAATCTCTGCACACTGTACCAAAGAGGAAAGAGCCTCTCTTACAGAGGCCCCTGCCAGGTATGTCTCAGCTGCCAAATCACGTATGCCATGACCTTTCCAGACCACAGAGTGCGTCCTCTGCTGAGAAAGGAGTAGTGTGGCTCTGAGGAGGAAGGTAGAAGCAAGTGGACCCTGGCTTCAAGTCACTCCTAGGGAAAGACTAAGGCTTTGCACCCGGTTCGGTCACTGTCATTTATTTGTCCACAGTTTTGTAGGCTGCCATAAAAAACAAATCAGGAAAAGAAGTGATCACCCCACTTGTGCCCCCACTTCCTACTTCCCACCTTCTACCTCCCGCTGTGTTTAAGTAAGATGAAAATCTCTAAGACTTGTTTCACACAGGCCTAACTCAGTCTTTTAGGTTTGTAGAATCTAGCTTCCAGGACAGCCTCCTTGGAGCTCCTCACCACCTTCCTGGTTCTTGCTGACCCCTCTGCTGGAAGACTCCCATCTTTGCACCCAGCATCACTTGCCTGCAAGCCACTAATACTGGACATGTTCTCCGTCCATGGTAGAGAAAGTCCCTTCAACTTGTCTGGCTACTGTTTCCTCTTGGAGCTGGTGTCCCGCTCACAGACACCTTCTGCTCTAACCACCCCCTTCTCTTCATCCTTGCTCAGGCTTCTCGGCTCTAGGGTGTTTCTGAGGTCTCACTGCCTAGCAGGTACAGAGTGCGTCTGCTCTGCTCATCTCTCTGCCGTCCTCCCATCCTACACCCAGCATGAAGAGCCGTCTTTTTTTTTTTAATTGATTTTATTGAGCCCTACATTTTTCTCTGCTTTTTCTTTCCCTCCCTTTCTCTCCCTCCCCTTCAGCCATCATCCTTGGTCCCCATGCTCCCAATTTACTCAGGAGAGAAGAGCATTCTTTTTATCCAGGTGACTACTAAGAGAAGTCTGGGTGAAGGACTGGCAGAGGGATATTTTTGTCTTGTTTCTGTTTCAGAATGAGCACCCAAGTTTCAAAGGCTTTCCAACCTGAGCCAGCCCGTTATGAATTCCACCTCCAGGGCTTTAGAGGCTCCCCACAACTTAGACCTGTGTCTTTTCACTTCCTAACCACAGTGAGGTCACTCTGTGCTTACTGGAGTTTCCCGGCTAAGAGTTACTTGTCCTTCCTCAGCCCTTCTGCAGAGCCACCGAGCCTGTCTGTGGGCACAACGGCGAGACCTACAGCAGTGTGTGTGCCGCCTACTCAGACCGTGTGGCAGTGGACTACTATGGGCCCTGCCAGGCTGTCGGGGTCCTCTCTGAACATAGTGCTGTGGCCGAGTGTGCTGCAGTGAAGTGTCCTTCTCTCTCAGCTATAGGCTGCAAACCCATCATTCCCCCTGGTAAGCTGGAGGTGTTGGGGGCAGGGGTGGGACCAGAAAGATTTGCTGACCCACCCCCAGAACATGAGCTCTGAGAAGAGAGTTGAGCAGCCTGTAAACTTGGAAAAGTCGTAATCCCAGCATTCGGGGCTGAGACAGTATAAGACCTTGTCCAGAAAAATAATATGTTAAAGAGACCTACATGCCAGTTATTCTGAACTAATTCCAAAGCTATGGACTGCCTTAGTGCTTGCTCTACTGACATCAGAACAACATGGAGAACTGCCTCCGAGGGACTTGTATTCAAATCCTAGCACCAATACAGTGGCTCACAGCCATCTGTACTACAGTTCTAGGGGATCCTATGTCTTCTTCTGACCTCCTCATGCACCAAGTGCACACATGGCACACATACATACATGCAGGCAAAACACATAAAATAAAATGAATGGATCTATTTTTAAAATTAAAAAGAAAACAACAGCTTTTTTTCTATCAAAATCTTACATCAGGCATCAATAAGCAGGAAAAGTAGCATTTAAATAAAAAAATTAGGATTACTGGGTTAAATGCTGGGTTTACTTATTTTAAAATACCTGAACAATTGACTAGTAGTTGAATGGATGGTTGAAGTGTTTTGATGAACACAAACATTTGTAATTGAGAGAAGCAAAGAGAGTTGACTTAATTGTGCAACCAGAAGGCTCTGTTCACACAGACAGCTGTGAGTATAGTGTCGTGGACAGTGGACAGTAAACTTTTGCCCATCAGTGAGACACGCAGTAGAAGAGCCTTCATTCCAGACCTGCACACACAGGCTGCCCTGGGTCTTCCAGATCTCCCTCTGTAGCTCAGATTCAGCCTCCACTATGTTTAGGACATTCTTTTAAGCACCAGGGACCCAGCAGTTAACAAACAAAACCTCTTCTCTCCTGGACACCATATCCATAGAAGGAACATAAGGCTCCTTGCAGATCCAAACTGCCAAGTCAGAATTGCCTGATGGAGTGAAGAGATGGTAAACTCTGTTAAATGTGGCAGGAGACTTTACTATTTCGTCCCTCGCTATGGTAGTTTGGAAAATTACATGTGAAGCTAGCACTCGGAACTCCTGGAGCTCCCTTGTACAGACAGAACATTGAAGGCCCAGCACAAGTTTCTGAGCAGGACCAGAGCATGAGATGAGAAGCGGGCGGGTCTGGTGTGCTGTTGTCCGCAGCCTCCCTACCCGAGCATTGCCCACCAGAGGAGGGTGTCAGGATGGAGGGATGGCTTTAGGATCCTGGGTTGGTCATCAGGAAGGACAGGTGAAGGCCACTTCACCAGTCATTTTGGATTCTCCTTGCTTTAATTCTGAACTCACAAAAATGATTTCTGTTACAGGTGCTTGTTGCCCATTATGTGCCGGAATGTTACGGGTTTTATTTGACAAAGTAAAACTGGACACTATTGCTAAGGTAAATTGCTCCATATGCTAGGTACTGTTGAAAGCACATTGCTAAACTCAGGAATGCTGGAGAGTAGAATGTATTGTCCCTGTATATAGATAAAGAACCCGAGGCCATACAGATCATAATAGAACAAGGGTTGACACCCAGAGTAGCTGACCTCTGCTCCTCCCTGCCACGTGCTTTCTTAGGAAAAGTCTCTGCCAGCTCAAAGAGCATGGTCAAGGCCAGGTTGGCAAGCAGTAGTAGAAATCCAGATGGTCTCTGTACCCATCGTCATCCCATTCCCCTAGGAGCTACCTTCCCTGTCTGTCTTTCCTTTTCCTGCTGCACCCTTTTGGGAGCCAAGACTTTAGTGATGTAATAGGCAGAAAACTTGCCACTACCTAGAGGACCCTTCCTGTCTGTTGTCACCTGTTTCCACGGGACTTTGCCTCCCTCCAGTTCAGAACAGGCGCTTTCTGAGAAGTGCTTACAGGACTGGAGAAGCAGCTCAGTTGGGTGCTTTCCTCTGTCACTTCTGCCTTGTGTTAGAGACAGGATCTCTCTCATTCAGCCAGACTGCCTGGCAAGCAAGCCCCGGGGGTCTTCCTGTCTCTACCTCTTCAGTGCTGAGATTGTAAGCATGTCCCACCACATGCAGAATTCTTACATTTTTACGTGAGTTCTGAGATTCAGACCCAGGTCCTCGGCAAGTTCCTAGCCAATGACAGACCTTGTCTTAGAAGAACAAGAAGATGGCTCAGTGGTATAGCGCTCATGCAGAGCACTTCTGCCCCTTCTGAAGACTCAGATTCAGTTCCCAGCACCCACATCAGGCAGCTCACAGCCACCTGTAGCTCCAGCCTCCGTGGTACCTGCACACATGCACATATACCCATCCAAGATATACCTACAAATAATTATTTTTTTTTAATTTTTTTGAGACAGGTTTTAGCCCTGACTGCCTCGAACTCACAGAGATTCTCTGCCTCCCAAGTACTGGGATTAAAGGTGTGCACTACTACCACCACTAGCATAGACAGAGTTCAAGGCTGTCATCAGTTACTTAGGACCCTATTTCAAACACAGAAAGGGCCTAAATAAATAGACAGCACTTCTGAGCTGCGTATGCTGATACAGGATTACCATGGAGCTAGCAAGGCTGAGGCAAGAGGATTATGAGTTTAAAGCTAGCCTGATCTATACAGCAAGACCCTGCTCAAACCAAAATACTTCTGGTGGGGGTTAATTTTGACTGCAAAACTCAGTAGATAGCCCAAACTCCATTCACTGGTCATTGGGTGACAGGATTCTGACCAGCAGAGCCAAACTTGGTGCTGAGCGCCAGTCAAAGAGCCTCTTCAGCTGCAGCTGAAGCAGACGGAGTAGCCTAGGCGGCAAGAGGGTTTCTCCTCAGGTCTTGGAAATGTCTCCTAGGTGACCAACAAGAAGCCAGTAACAGTTCTGGAGATTCTTCAGAAGATCCGCATGCACGTGTCTGTCCCACAGTGTGATGTGTTTGGATACCTGAGCATCGAATCAGAAATTGTGATCCTGATTATTCCTGTCGACCACTATCCTAAAGCTTTGCAGGTTTGACACACATTCTGAAGCCATTTGTCAATTTAGAGTTTGTTGAACTTACAATGGGGATGGGGGTTGCCAAACCAGGGCTGGGAAAGGACCAAGAGGTGAGGAAACGGGAGCACTTTGGAAAGAGCAAGGCAGCCTCCGATGGCTGGGTCTGTTCTGGGGCCTGAGACTGGGCACACTAAGTCCACCCCACCCTTGTGCAAGTGAGGCAGCCAAGGCCTGAGGAGTAGGACACTGGCATGGCCAGGCAGTGACCAAGCCAAAGCCTCTGGTCTCTGGAGTAGGATCCATCAGAGGCAGTCTCCAGGGCCCTAAGTCCTTCCTTGCAGATCAGGGTGCCCTGGAACCTCACTCTGTAGGCCCAAGTTTCGGTAAAAAGTAGTGAAGACTCCCGGGAAGGGTGAATGGGAGCAGTTCCAGCTGCCTCATCCCAACCCTGTTTCCATCCCCTGCTGTAGAGCAGCAGTGAAAGCATCCCTATGGCTGTGTCTAACTGGTCACTGTCTCTAGAGGTGGGCAGTGGATGCTATGGTACTGTGCAGCACCAAAAATGGTTGACTGACTAGGGTAGTGGACATGAAGTTTTTGATTTCCATTAATGCCCTTACATGTGTGTAGTAAGTTAAGGCCTGGACCTAACCTGACTACACGGTAAAGGAAAAGAAACTGTGCTGTCTCTGTGGTCTTTCTACTTTTGACATGTGCTTGGAATTTGCTTGACTGGACCTTTTCTGAGGTTTTCTAGTGAAAGAATCTTTCTCTTGCAGATTGAGGCCTGCAATAAGGAAGCAGAGAAAATCGAGTCCCTCATCAACTCCGACAGCCCCACTCTGGCGTCCCATGTCCCCCTCTCAGCCCTTATCATTTCCCAGGTGCAGGTCTCCAGAAGCCTTCCATCCTCTGCTGCTGGGGGCAGGTCTCCCTGCCCCTCCCTGCTCCTCTTTAACCTGGGCCTCACTGTGTACCTGCTCTGGACTCGTCCCTGACTGCCCACAAAAACTACAAAGCCTTCCTTGACTCGGCCGTCCCACCTTTTGAAAGACATCAGGACTGCTAGCTGGTGGCCGAGCAAGAACACGTGTCACCTCTTAGCCCTACACAGTATTTTTTTAATCTGCCAATGTTAGAGGTTTTACCTTGATTCTAAAATGATAAACTAGGCTCCCCCAGTATGATGGAATCTCTTGCTGGTGGGCCGCTGGGTTACAGTTTACATTTTGCTCAGTAGATGAGTCCGCTTCTCCAAAGGAAATTTACCGTCACTGATGAATGAGACGGTCGCTTTAGGAGCCCCCTTTTCGTGTCCTAGAGGCGTCAGAGTTCCTGTAAGGCTGGGGCTGTGCTGTGCTTGTTTCTGTGTCTAGAGCTGAGGGCTCAGTGGAAAGCCACTTCTATGGTGGTGTGGAAGGAGAGAGCTCTGACCTGATCACAGGCTGCTTCCATGGAAAGGTAAGGCAGGACTCTCATGCACTTAGCAAAGGCAACATGTAACACTCACGTACCTGCCTTGCAGGTGGTCCTCTCAGTCGTTGCCAGTTAGTGCCTGTGAATGGGGGCAGCCCCGCTCATCCGAGCATCTGTGTCGTGCAGTTTTATATTAGCCTCTCGTCAGTACTCACCAAGTTCAGAGACTTTAAACCAACTGCTGCTGCTATATAATTGCCAAAAAGTAAGATAATTAGTCGTTCATGTAAATAGTACATGATTTCTTAATTTTATTATGAAGAAGGTGAATAGCCATATTTGTAAAATGACAATCATATGTGTTAGCCCCATACTTTCCGTTCATGAAGACACATTTGCTTTTTGTGGTGTGCACAGTATGGATAAATGTCTGTCTTTCTTTTTATATAGAATTATAAAGAATGTGGTTTATATATTTAAAATGTCAGACTAAGTATTAAAATGTTTGCATGTTGTCTAAGAAATTGGATATTTTGAATGTTTCACAGTTTGAAATAAGCTATTATTGTAATACTTCTTGTTTGTATGCACCTGAACTTAGAGTTTTACATGAAGTATTTTTCAGTGTTACATGTACCCTCTGAAATATAGCAATATGCTTATTATACCAAAATGTTGTTGAAAAGTAGGCACTTAAAGCTTTCAGAGGATCTCAGTGCTGATGTTAATGTAGCCTCTGTTGCAATTGCCTATTTCTGTCTAAATGTCTTCAACATACTAGACTATATTGTATATATATATTCTATATATAGTATATTATACATACTATACTATATATAGTATACAGCAATATGCTAGAAAGCTTCTCTATTTTAATAAAAGTAATTTTATATGATCATGTGTATTTCCAGGTAATGTGAACATTCAGATTGAAACTGTTTCTCACCCTCAAGTGAGTTGTGTCTTTACTGTACAGTGGGAAGTTCTGGAGTGACATCATCCCAAGCCAAGTCCTCTGGGGGAGTGAAACAATTGTGTTGAACACCCAGCACATCCAGAGGGCAGGCAGTGGTAGGATCAGGTGCAGATTCCAACTTTAGCTGTTCCAGGACAGAAACAGATAGGCAGGTCTGTTCCATTGGCCTCGTATTCCAGGTCCAGGGTGTATTTGGGGCAGATGATCCTGAAGTGTTGGGGACAGAGCAAGTCATGAAGAGCTAACCTCAGCTACTTAGGCTAAGTTCGTGAACCTGACATGTTTGTTACTCATCCACTACATCTGCTGTAGTTCTCCCCACACCGACTATACCCCAGCTCCATCCCTGTGTCCTCACTGAAGGGAGAAGAGACAGAACCATGAGTTGCCTTCAAGGCTCTACTCACAAGTCTCAGTCGTTTCTGCCTGCAGTTTAGTGGCCAAAGCAAGTCAGGTGACTGCTCCTGAGCAGAAATTATGGGTGGGGATGTAAAGTATTTCAGTGGTGCCGTATGTGCCGGGGGGGGGGGGGGTGATGAGTACTTTGATTGATGCAGTTTACCACTGCATGAGAACAGTGTTCATGAGAACAGAACAAGAGCCAGGTCTGACTGAGGTTTTTATTAGGAAAGCAGGAATACTATGGTCTGGGAAGGAAGTCAGTGGTTGGGTTTGGGTGAGGGAATGTATGAATGAGAGATCTGAAGTTGGTCCTGTTCTGGGATTGTAATCACAAGAACCCCCAAATGGTGATAGAAACGGGTTAGCTTGGGGGCTAATGTCCTCCAAGGTCCTGATGCTAAAGTGGACATCCTAACTGCTTGTGCTAAATCATAGTGGCTTCCCAGCACCCAAGCAAGTGCAGCTGTTGCTGAAAGTCCCCCTCCCCTGCCCCAGCGGTGGTCTAGACGTCCGTCCGCAGGCAGAGGACTAAGCTGAAGTAGAGATTCCTGGGCCCTGGAGTTTACCTGCAGGAGGAAGACAGGGGTTGAGAGAAAGATCTGTCTTCCATCTATAACATGAGTGATGCAGCCATGTCCGTAGACCTTCAGTGTTCTAAGCATGAAGAAAGGCAACAAGCTACAGTGACTCCCTTTTATCACCTATGGCTTTATGGATAAGAACTACTTATCAGAAATTTCTCCACATCCATCCATTGCTTCTGTGGCCAAGATGAGATCAGACTCCCACGCTACACTAGTTACTGGCCGAGGGGAGCAAGGCCATAATTGACTTAGTCCAGGAGCTGCACCACTGCCAAAGCCAAGCCAAACATGGCAGTGCAGGTAAGTTAAATGGCAAAGGGCTCTTGCTTTGGCCATAAACCGCACTTCACTTCAATACCTGGCCTCTGAAGCTTCTACTTACTAGAGTCTTGATATGAGAACACTTTTATTTTCTTTTTCCCAAGAAGGAAGTGACCATTCTGGCTCTGCTGTGTACACTTCCATTTCCAGACAAGACGTAGACTCCACACATCGCCTCTTATTCCACAGCCTCACTTCAGTCCTCAGGGCTCTCTGCTGTTTCAGGAAATCCAGTCCCAGTTACAAGTGCCTGGGAGGTGAAGGCAAGAATGTCAGAAGAACCCACTCGTACTTTTTTATAAATGTAATTTTTACACATATATTTTGTGTGTGTGTATGTTTGGGTGTAAATATGCCATGCCTCACACGTGGAGAGGACAGCTTGTGTGAGTTGGTTCTCTCTCTACCAAGTGGGATCCAAGGAATGTATATGTGAAGATATTTCTTGTTATTATATCATCTTTATTCCTTAGTTTTTGTTTGGTCATGATGAATTATTCCATTAATGCACAGCTAGATATAATTTGTGATATTTGCTTAAAATTTTGATGTTCATATTTGTAAGTGATGTTTATTAAATTAATGAGGTAGATTTTACATTCTTTAGAAGATTAACTATAATCAGCCCACTATATCTACAGGTTCCACATCCATGGATTCAATGGATCATAGATTAAAAAATTATATTCTTTGGCTGGTAAGATGGCTGAGTAGGTAAAGGCATTTGCCGCTCAAACCTGACTACCTAAGGTCAATTCCTGTAAACCACATAAAAGCAAAAGGACAAAACTAACACTGCAGAGTTGTACTCTGGCCTCTGCACATGTGCTGTGACATGCACATCGTGGCACACACATATACACACCCCCCACACATACATGTGGTGATACCTTATTTGTACAATTAAAGCTTGCCTGAAGATCAGAGGACTGAGCTAGTCACTAGCTCACCACAGAGATCTGGAGGTCTGTACAGACAGACAGGAAGTGATATGGCTGGGCGGAGAGAGGAAGCAATAAAGCAGGAGGAGACAGGAGCTCAGTCTCTTTTCCACCAGAAAGTTGAGTAGGTAAGGTGACTATGGCTTGCTCCTTCGTCTCTCTAACATCTCAGCAGTTTTCCCTACATCTGACTCTGGACTTTTATTATGAAGACCCAGTAGAACTCGTTCTACATATTGGCACCCAACTGCTTGCCTGTGGCTTTGCAGCTCTGGGCACAGACCAGAGCTGCAAGCGGAGCTCCTTCTGGAGTCATCACCCAGCTGGCCAGGTTCTTTTCTCTTCTTCCCTAAGACTCTAAGCAAGTTTGGAATTTGTTGTAGCTTCTCTGCAACAAACTTCACAGACCCAAACTCCACAGGCACCTCGACTCCAAATGCCACAGGACTTACCTGCCCTTGGCCAGCTGGCTCTGCCTTCAGAAAGGTCTTACCACATGTGCTTCTTCTGCACAATCCCATGTGCATTTTTCAGACAGCTGTCTCCTCTCTCTTTCTTTATCTCTCTCTCTCTCTTTCTCTCTCTCTCTCTCTCTCTCTCTCTCTCCCTCTCCACCATGGTTTGTGGGTTTTTCCCTATACCCCCTCTCCTCAGGCTGCTGCTCTCAGCTCACAGCTACTCCCAAACAGCTGCAGCTACCCTCAACCAGGCTAGCTCTTTCTGCCCTGCTCTGCTATAGGCTCAAAGCAGTTCTTTATTAACCAGTGGTATTCACAGCATACAGAGGGGAATCCCACATCATAGGTGCTAAAGAAAGAAAATAAAATGGGTATATACAATCATACAAAAATAAACCAGTGGTGGTGGCACATGCCTTTAAGCCCAGCATTTGGGAGGCAGAGGCAGGTGGATCTCAGTAAGTATGAGGCCAGCTGCTCTACCAAGTATGTTCCAGGGCAGGCAGGACTGTTATACAAAAAACCCTGTCACAAAAAAAAGGAAGAAAATAAAAAGTAAATAGTTTAAAATGTTAATATGAAGTCTTTAAAGAGAGAGTAAAGTAATAGAAAAAGAATAAGCCTCATAAAGATGGGAAGTGTAACACAAGGAGTATCCTATATAGTGCTTTATTAATTTAAAATTATTTAAATACTAATGAACAGAAAACAACAGCTGCTCAGAGACATTGGATTGTATACAATGCTGCTGAATTGAACTAGTCTATATAATTTAAGGATGTCTTAACACAGAATGGAAGTCAAGAAATGTGTTGCATTGGGGGAAAGGTGATGTCTTTATTTCCATGGGAAACAAAAAGACTATGAATTCTTTCAAAATTAATAAAGATCAGATTTGATCAAGGGAAACCTGAAAATCATGGCTGCAAACATAAAGGAAGAAACCAAGAAAAACTGCAAGACAGGTGGCATATATGCTGACCTCTCTGCTTGGGAACAGCTCTGAGACTGGATGAGACATGTTAAATCATGTTGGCTACGGAGTCCTCATGACTTATTATTACATGTCATCCTTCCATATGACATGGCTGGAAATTTATATTATGATTTGGTTATACAATCCAAATGGACTTATAAAGTTCACAGATGCCTTTTACCTGCTTAAACATAAAACAAAAAAAAAACATCTTTAGCTGGCTTGTGCATAC